TGTGTGTGTGTGTGTGTGTGTGTGTGTGTGTGTGTGTGTGTGTGTGTTTTAAAGGATCACTGTCAAGATCACAATGACTTCAAAAATGGCCTCATCTGTGTTGCTATCTACACCTCTTCCATAACGTGAGTCCCCACTTCACGTTGCAATACAAAACAGTTTCAGGAGTCCTCTCTCCTACGTTTCAAGACACCCCTCCCATTCCATCTACCCATAAGGAAGGAGAGGATGGTCGCAGTCGCCTAAGACATGTCTGCACCCTCCTAAACTGATGCCTTAGTTGTTTCAGTTTTAATAATCTATTTTAAAATCCATTGTGCTTTTTTTCCACTTATGTGCTTTGTTTTCTTTTTTTTTTTTAATGTGTTTCATTCACACTGAACAGTGAAACTAAATCAGCCAGTCCTACTTCCTGTTAATGGTCAGTTTCACTTCCTGTTTCTTGGCTACAAACCTTTTAGGTTTCCTTCCCAATTAATATAATAAAAAAAACTATTTCAATTTCCTCACTGATAGGTTTGGGCCTAACCTACTTGACAGTGTCCCTTTAAAAAGAAAACCATGAAAATGTTAATGGTGTCAAATCTGCTGTTCTTTGTTGAATGGCTGCATTAGAATTGTATATTGCAGGACAAAAAGGCAACTTGCCTTTTATATATTTTTAAATGTGAGGAGTGAGCTTGTTCTGTTTTGGATGAGTTCTGATATACTTAGTATTGGGTAAGATGTCAGCATAGTAAGTCATGTTGTTGTTTTTTAAAGTGTCCCATAAGGCAGGTGATCTTGTGCTACACTTCTTAGATTTAGCTGATGTAGATTTAGATCTTTTTCTGTGCAACACAAAGTTGGGGGGGAGGGGAAAAAATCCTCCTGGCCTAAAATTTAAAGAGATTGTTTCACTTTCTGGATGAGCTGTACATTGGAGCGTGTGGTTGGTTTTTGTTTTTTTAATAATTGCTGATAATGTTGTGCTCTCTCCTAAAGAAGACATGTTACTGTCTATCAGCGGGTCTGATAATACATAGAACTGGATGCAAGCTGATTAGCTGTGTGGAGTCTTAATTTACGTGGAGCTCTTGGACTGAGAATGCTGGGTGAGCAGGGCTGGGGTCTGCCATGCTGCTTTGGGGCATCTTCACAGCGGTGTTGAAATAAGGCACAAAAAGGTAACAAAGAGACACAAAGATCATAGCTACAACATTTTGGAGCCTGATCGGGCTCTCAGTGGAGTCAGTGGGACTCTTGCACTTAACCAAATCCATCCTGGATTTAAGATTTTTGTGAGCCTGTTCCCCTGGCCACTAACCACAAACACATGTTCCACAACTGCCCCATGTGGTGCAGCCTCGTCCACACCCCAGGCTGAAGAAAGTGGCCTAGTCATGAAACTTAGCACATGTGGAATAAGGATTGTGGGTCATCCTTGGGCCATTGTCAATGATTTGGGGTTTTTCCCCTACTACTTAATTTCTAATGAAATAGGTGCCAGAGCTCAAGCAATTAGATGCTGGGGGCTCAAGCAATTTTTTTGCATTCATAACTGATGCAGCAAGCCCAGAGGTGCCAGGGCTATGAACTGCCAAGCCCTGGCACAAATTAAGTGTTGTTTTTCCCTTTTTATAAAGCCTCCATCCCCATATTCAGGTCTTTATTCTCCAGCCCGCAGGGCAGACCTGACGTCCATTTTGAGCCTGGCTGGCCAGCAGGTGGCACTGTTCAGCAAGACACTGCTTGCTTTCTGCTCTGCTGTTTTAAAAGCATGAATTGAAAAATATAAACACGCAGAACATGGTGGTACTGCAGCTCATCAGAAGGGGCTTTGCCTTGACCCATTGAAGTCAATACAAATCTTGATATGGACTTCAGTGCGGGAGCAGGAGCAGGCCCTTTGTGCAAGCCCACTTGGAGAACAACAGTGAAACTAAACATCAGTTTTAAAGTAGTCGGGGCTAGAAAGGGAAAACCATGCAAGAAATCAGGTTCTTTCACATTTCATTATGCATGTGAACACAGCGTCACAAAGATTTCACATGCTTCCCTCAGAGACGGGGCAGGTTTTGAGTAGAGGTGGCTTCGCCCAGGAAGAATATGGAAATGCTGATATTAGCATGCGTTTCATGGTGCAAATACCCATTTCTCTTCAATTCAGGGGTAACACTGCTTTAGACGGGAGCAATCCCTGGTAACCACAATGGGAAGGCCATTTTGCAGAAGGAAAGTCCCTGGTTTGGCACATCTCCATTGTAGGTGTACAGTATTTGCATAAATGGGGGGGTAGATGAGAGTTCTTAGGGCTAGGTAGCAGAGAAGAGCAACTGTCGGAGAGGTGGAACGGTGCTCTAAGTATTGGCTCTGATAACATGGTCACCGCTGAAATAGGCAGCATTGGTGCTCGTTGCTCACAGAGAAGGAGCATGGGCATGAAGCCAGCTGGCCGGGGCATAGTCCCCAGAAGGGAGGGTTGCCAACCCTCACGGATTGGCTGGGAGTCTCCTGGAATCGGCCTTGATCTCCCAGAGGCTACTGAAACCAATCTGGGAGATTTTAATAGGCCGCTAAAAGTCCGGCGGGGCTAAAGCAGGCTCCCTACCTGCCCCGGCGCCGCGCCACTCCTGGAAGTGGAATGTCCAGCTCCTAGGTGCAGGGGTGGCCAGGGGGGGTCTCCCTCCGCATGCTGCCCACATCCCAAGTGCCAACTCTGCAGCTCCCATTGGGCGGGAATCCCCAGCTCGCACACACACCTTAGCTACTACTCTCTCTGCACCCTGAGTAACCCTCGTGCCTGCCTGCACACACCCCTACCTACCCCTCTCCCTGCACCCTGAGCTACCCCCTGCCTGCACACAGCCCCTA